GAAGGTAAAGAGGAGTAGGCCAAACTGACCAGAAGGTGGACGCAATTCGTAATGGTAGAAGGGGAAAGAACCATGAAGGGAGGAGGATTGCCAGTAAATAAGAAGATGATTGCGTGTACCCCGGAAGGTAGCTGTACGTGCAATATAATACCATATGACACTGACAGGACACAGTAGTCTATTGGGGTCCGTCCAAGGGTAAAGTTGGGAGATAGAAGAAAAAGAGGATCAACCTTCTCAAGTTGCCAAGGTGGGAGGCCTTTGAATCTGAAAGGAACGCATGAGCATAGTGAGAACAGGGGAAGTAAAAACCCCATGGTATCTGGAGAAATGGAAGGTATGGCAAAGAGCTGCCCTATATCCAGAAATTGCAGTGACCAAAGAGCCAGGTGAGAAATTCCAGCATCTGAGCCACTGAAGGCTTGGTGGCAAGAAATTCCATGCCAGCAGACCAAAAGCAGAAGACCTTCCACTTGTGCTGGTAAACTTTCATGGAAGATAGACGAATGGAAGTAGCAAACAGGGAAACAACTCGACAAATTGAACCTCCATGCCAAGAACTGGACAAAAGCCAGGTTTGAGGATGCAGAATGGGGGGGGGGGGGTCGAGGTTGATGCAGAAGGGAGGGAAACAGTGGAAGATGGACAGGTGGTGAAAGCCTCTGAAACCAGGTTTGTGCTGCCCAATGGGTGCAATCAGGAGGACCTGACAAGGAGTGGAGTGTACCAGAGGAATCATCTGATGAAACAAAGGGGTGGGAGGGTACACATAAATGTATTTATGATACCAATCCAGGCTGAAGGCATCGACAGCTAGAGCCTGTGGATGCGGGAAAGGTGACCAAAAGAGGGGCAACTTTGTATTGAGCCCTATGGCAAATGCATCCAATTGGGAAGAAACCCAAAGGAGACAAAGGTCTCTGAAAACAGTCACATCTAATGATCACTCCAAGGGATAGTCAGTCCAAACGTGAAAGACAATCCACTACAAGATTGAAAGCACCCAGCACATAACAAGTGAGAAGACAAATGTGATGTGCCTGGGCCCAGTATAGAAGACCCAAGGTCCAGAAACAAATATTGTTAGACTGGATGCATCCTTGGTGGCTGATATGAGCCACTACGATAGAGTTGTCAGAATGAACCATCACCAGGCATTGACAGGCAAGAGAAAGGAAGTGAGATAACACCCAATGAACCACCAAAGTTTTTGAAAAAGGAATATGCAAGATAAGTTCTTCTGCTGACCAATGGCCCAAAGCTTTATGGTGATTAACCCAAGCCCCCCCATCTCTGAAGGAAAGTGTCCGTGAAAAGACACTGGGGAGGAAGTGGCACACCCGTATGGGCTTTGTCGAGCCACCACAGCAGATCTACTCCCAGGGAAGGAGGATGGAAAATGGTGGTGGAAAGAGGATCCCATTCAAGGTTCCATTGTTCATGAAGTGTTCATTGCAAACATCTCATATGGGTGCAACTGAGGGACACCCATTGTCCCCAAATGCAATAGAACCTCTTGATCAGTAAGTGACCGAGCTGAGACGACACAATGAACTAAAAGGTCTATAAAAGTGAGGTGTAAAGGAGAAGGGAGAGTTCGACTGATGTTGGTGTTGAAGAAGACCCCCAAATGCCCTAAGTATTGGGTGGGTCGAAGGATGATTTCTCCAATTTTATCAACCAGCCCACTTGACCTGTCACAAAAAGGAGTTGATGAGTTTTATTGGTGGACTCCTGCTTGGAATGAGCTAGAAATAGCCAATCATCTATGAAATGTAGAAACTGCAACCCCAAAGTATGCATATGACGAGAAAAGGCCAGAACGACGAGACAAAACATGTATGGAGCCGAGGCATGTTTGAAGGGGAGAGCCCGAAATTGGTAAACCACCCCGAGATGAACAAACCAAGGATAAAGACAGAATTGAAGGGTTATCAGGAAGTGGAAATAGCTATTGGAAACATCCATTTGTGTCATCCATAATTCTGGGGAAAATGCCCATCTCAGAGTGAAGAAGGACTCCATAGTGAACCTGGGAAGTGCGATGAAGCAGTTGAGGCATGACAAATTGATAACCAATTGCCAATCCCCGGTTTTCTTAGGGATCACAAAAAAGACGGGAGTAAGACCCTTCCAAGGGATTGTGAACCGGTTTGATGGCCCACTGCAAAATCAAATCCTGAACTGCTTCTTATAGACACTGGCGATTCAGGGGGAACTTGAGGAGGTGGAAAAAAACAGAAGGCGGGGAAAGAAACGTGAGAATGAGTCCCTCTGACAAAGGCGAACCAGTGAGGAAGAATATCCAACAAACATGCTTGTACAAGCCCTGAACCCACCAGGTAGTCACCGGTGCTGTTAATGACGGATGATACGTCGGTGATGACCTCGATGAAAAGAAGTACCTGGATCTGAAAGAACAGGTAAAGAATGGGAATAGGTGGCATGGAAGGCTCTAGTCGAGACAAATGGGCCACAAAAGTTGAAAGGGTGGACTGTAGTTGGGTGGATGGTACCTGCAGCTCAGTATCGTCAGGGGCAGTGTCAAAGACATAATGTCAAAGAAAATAAGCAAGACATAAATCCCTCAGATAAGTGGAGGGTAAATTATCATAAGCTTGATTGCAGTCCCTACCGATAAGTTCCCAACAATAAAGAAACCACATATGTAACGACAGAGCCAAGGAAGGAATATGGGCCAAAGTGGAAGAGAAAAGGTGAAGTGTATCAGCAGAAAATCCCTCTGAATTTCTGTGGTAAGTCTCTGAGAGGAGATGTATAGAAGACAGATACCAGAGAAGGGTAGTGAGGATAAGATGAAGGCAAAAGTATTGACCATGTGTGAGACTAATATTAGATTCAGAAGCCCCCCCCCCCCCAAAGAGATAATAAGGAACCCAACAACTGGTGATCCAAAAACGGATAATATACCATTAAGCAAGGGCGTACTGATCAGAGGTTCTCATGGGGGTGTGGCATATTGATCCTTTCACCTAACTGGGAGAGAAAGTGATCCACATGGACCCGAATATCAGGAGAGAGAGGAAATATCAAAAATGGTTGAGAATGGTCATGCAACAAAGAAAGACGAGGGGAATAAGACATAAGGGAAAGAGATAAAACATTACAAACCTGAGATACAAAATCTATGGAAGCTGAGGAAGGCCTAAATGAATCGTCTGGCTGGAACTGAGAAGGAACGTCAAATTTGGGAGGAGGTAAAAGATGATCAAAATCGTCGTCATGCTGAATAATGTCAAGACTCTGAAGGAGCTCAGGCGACATCAGGGGACAAAGGGTGACCCAAGTAGTGTTCATTCTCTTGATGAACAAAATCAGAAAGATCCACAGTCGGGTTCCCTGCATCTTAGGCCTGAGATTGGTGATTGATGTGACCCCCCAAGTGGTAATGTTGACTTCGGAATTCATAACTCATGAAAACTGCACAAAAATGTCTAGTGCAGAAAAGCAATAATAATAAACTGGGAGAAATGTGGTAAAGTATAACAAACTAAAAATAGAACCACTTCAAACGAAAATCAAAAATATGTCACATGGAAAGCATGAAGCACAAAAGAAAATATCTGTGCTCAAAAGATGCCAAATAAGAAGTGAAGGTTCAGTAGAGGAGTGAAGAGGGAATCACATGAGCATACTATGCTACTATTGGTTAACAGATGATACATGACGATTTACATGAAAGACACATTGGAATGTACTAATTCCAACAAGGGGGAGCACAAGACTTGTGGCATGCATAAAGAAAATGTTTGCATAAAAGAGGGCAGCACTGAACAAGAATAGCTAATCTTGTGAGAGGAGGTAAGTGGTATTGGAACCTTGGATTTCTATTGTTAGAAATAATATAGTATCAAATGTCAGAGAGAACTATTGGCAATTTCTGAAAGAGTGGGCATGGCAAGTGAGGTATGATTTTCTGTTTTATGGCTCTGTAACAAAATAAGATTGAAGGCTATAAAAAATATACTTTGCCTGAGCAATGACAACATTATAGTGAGTAATTTCATACTTCTTGGAGGGGTGGTAAATAAATTAGAGAAAAGGGAATACCTAGAGAGCAAATGTCACAATTCTCATACTATGGGAAATTGTTTTTTTTATGTTGCCTTAGAATTAAGAACTTAAAACTTGTGTTATAATTTGGATTATTAGCGATGTTTTCATGCCAAGTTTACATACCAAGATAAGAAAGTAGTTCAACTAAATTGTGAATATAACTAAAACCTGACATGCACACAAAATGATGCCCGTTTTGAAAGAGTTAAAAGTATTATGCCTAATTTTCATGTTATTCTCACTTGAGAAAGCAATTTTTTTTTTTATTATTATTTAGTGATCAACGCAACTAGATTGCCCAAAAGAGCATCGCATTACAGGAAAAGGTACACAAACAATGTATAACTTTCCTTCAAGACAAACACACACCCTTCTACTACATTAACATTAATCTTGGTCTGCAAAGGTTAAAAAAAATAGAAAAACCAGCTTTTCCCAAACTGCTTAATTGTTTTAAAGATGAAAATGCACCAGCTACTGAGTGCTGTAAGAATAGGAAATCTTGATAGTTATATTGCAATATCAGCATTGAGTGAAAGAGTAAAGAGATGAGCTTGACAAGTACTGTGTACACCGGGGGTGAAAAAATACAACCCATGGGCCATCTAACATTTCTCTCCTGCCCACCATCACTACCTGAAATTGTGAAAAGAACATAGTGGGATATTTATACAATTGATGTTAAGGTAATTTAATTAATATAGTACAAATGTGTGGCCCGTGACAACTTACCAAAATTTGTGAAGTGGCCCCCCTGCAAACATTATTGTCCACTCCTGGTGTACACAGTATTGACACATGGTACTAACTGTATTGATCCACTGTGACAGAAAAGACTCAGGTATAGAATTTCTCTCTTAACCAAAACTTTTTGATGTTATCTAATAAAACAATCAACTACATGACAGAAAGCAGAAAGTTACCTGATCTCCCTGTCATGTAAAGTCATGGAGTACTTGACTGTGAGGACAATTTTGTGTTTCTTCAAACTTTCTGTTAACTGTGTAAATCTTTTTTCTTGTGCTGTTGGTTCATGCTAACCAAAATAATATTCATTATAAATAACAGCAAATATACCGCTAAATGTTCTGCAACACAATAAAACGTTCACATTTTAACCATCCTTAGTTTACTGTCTTTAAAGGAGTTCTGCATAATAGTGTTCTTGGAGAAACATTCAGGCAATAATTAATTTAATAATTAAATGATTAGAAACCTATAAACAAGATATTAAAGAACAATTTCTTATAATCTTATGAAAAAGCAAATCCTTCAACTTAAATCAAACCTATTTACAAGAAATCTTGAATCAGTATAAGTAAGTGTAAAATAATGATTCTGTTTTATGCAATAAAACAACTTTATTAATTGCTGGTTTAACCATTGGAATCAGTCAGTAATAACGAAAACTGAAAATTACAAAATAGTATGCAAGTTAAAATACTTCATATTACTACTACTGCAGCAAAGTAACTGACAATTCAAATCTGGCATTTTTTTTTTGTAGAATAATGTCTTTAGTTTATTTATAGCAATAAATCACTGTGTACTTCCCTATTACTATGAATAAAAGTTAGAAGTTCAACTAAAATGTAAGATATTTTTATGCTGAAACAACCACACTTACTTCTTCTCTTCCAGTTAATAGCATTATTTCCTGTAAATCAGGGCACCTTTTCACCAAAAGCTCACAGAAACGTAGAAAATTGTGGGTCTGTAAACAGATTTATATAAATTAATCCATAACTCCAAAGATGCTTTTAGAATTTATAATTTATTCACTGAAACAAACTGCTAAAACAAACATATAAAATTATTCAACTTTACTTAGTCACAAAATACTTTTAAAATACACATGTATAGTGATAGTTTTTGGACACATAAATAAAGAAAGTCACTTTTATTAGATAATAAAGGCCAGTTTAATCCAATGCATTCATAAAATATATGCAAACTCACCTTTCTGATAAAGCTGTTATATATCACTCTTTGTATTAAAAACTAACCTTAATCAATACAGAACCTAACATATCTTATTGCTAATTCACTATGATTTCTACAATTATAATTTTAAGTAATAAAGTTCAGGTATAACATCCTCACACAATTTATTTAACAAGGAATTGAATATTTAATTACATACAAAATTTGTTTCCTATTACAAAATTATTATTAGCAGGAACCAACAACTAAACCTTCTTGTTTTTCTATGCTCACATGTCTCTAATTTCAATTGTCAGATCACGACTGCTAATTCCAGATTTTACTAACCGAGTTTAGTAAATTATCATGAGGTTCAAAAGCAAATCTCATTCATATATAAATTACAAGTTCAAACTCTTTGTTTTTAACTCAAGTTTGTGTATGTGTTTATATATGTATATGTAGAGAAAATCAATACTTAAACAGTCAAACAAAATCAAATCAAAAGAAAGACTGCATTAAAAACAGCATGTCCAAACCTGTGATAAATGACATTTTACTAAATAAAACAAGCCCAAACAAAAATTTAAAATAAGCTTTAAAAATATTTTGGTAAAGATTCCATTGTCAGTCCTAGTTGTCACCATAAAGTCATAGTGAATAATGCCTGTGGTAATAGCTCCCAAATATGTTGGGGATATTCCATCTATAAGACAAAATCCAAATGATGATGTTAAACTAGCCAGTAGAAAATCAATTAAGGGTGAGGAGTTGAGTACTTACACCCACAACGTCTCAAGTCCTACTGCCCTTCACTGTCTGCAGCCAGTTGTGGGACAACAGTTACCCTTAAAAGTTCTTATACTTCCTAAAGTAGAAATGAAACCACCCTACATGAAACTCCCAACCTCTAAATCAAACAAAATAAAAATAAATGATCTTAAATAGAATTACAAATCCTACCTTAATAGTTTTTATGTGGTTCATACATTCCCAACCTCCTCCCTTTTTTCTTGAAAATTTATTCAAATATAACATGGGAAAGCCGAGACAAGCCAGGCTAATTGAAGTTAGTCTTTCCATCCCAGTATATTGAATTAAGTTATAATTTTTTATCTAGCTACTTAAAAGTAGCTAATCTCTAATTACACAAAAGGTATTTTCCGTATCAAAAGTATATTTTTTAAATATTTTCACATTTATTATACTGTAAAAAATATTTTCTAATAGTAAGAGTACCTAACTGATAAAACTATGTATTCTAATCATTACAAGTTTTTATTTAATAATACTGCATAGTTCTAGTTAGACTGGTGCATTAATTTAGCTAAATCATTTACTGGGTTAATTTTTGGTTCTAATCTTTTAACTCACTTTCACCAGAAGTTAACAATAAAATATAATTATCAAACAGTCTTATACTGTCAGAAACATGCATTTCACTTATTCTGAGACTGTCCTGTGTATAACCTTTGTTTTGTGTCAAAATTACTAACCAGTGATGGACATGTTCTTTATTTTTATTCTTAGTATTTTCATTCATATTTCACAAACAAGTTCTTTGTTTCTTTACTCAGTAATTTCATCCACAGTTCATTATATATGTTTTTGTTTCTTTTATCAGCACTATCAGTCCCTTCATGGGTACGTTCTTTGCTTCTTTTCTCAGTAATTCAGTCACATTTCATGGACTTGCTCTTTGTTTCTTTTCTCAGCATTTTCATTCATATTTCACAAACATGTTCTTTGTTTGTTTGCTCAGTATTTAGTTACATTTCATGGCCATGTTCTTCGTTTCGTTTCTCAGTACTATCAGTACCTTCATGGCCATGTTCTTTGTTTCTTTTCTCAGTACTATCAGCCCCTTCATGGGCATGTTCTTTTCTCAGTACTATCAGTCCCTTCATGGGTATGTTCTTTCTTTCTTTTCTCAATACTATCAGTCCTTTCATGGGCATGTTCTTTTCTCAGTACTATCAGTCCCTTCATGGGTATGTTCTTTCTTTCTTTTCTCAGTACTATCAGTCTTTTCATGGGCATGTTCTTTTCTCAGTACTATCAGTCCCTTCATGGGTATGTTCTTTCTTTCTTTTCTCAATACTATCAGTCCTTTCATGGGCATGTTCTTTTCTCAGTACTATCAGTCCCTTCATGGGTATGTTCTTTCTTTCTTTTCTCAGTACTATCAGTCACATTTCATGGGTATGTTCTTTCCTTCTTTTCTTAGTATTTCCATTCACAATTCAAGAAAATGTTCTTTATTTCTTTGCTCAGTACCTTAGTGACATTTCATGGACACACATTTTTCTGCTTCTGTTCTCATTACTATCAGTCCCTTATATATCAACTACTAAGTAAAACTTTCTACTCACTTGTAACACTTAGTTACACTTAACAACTACTAAATGAAACTTTATACTCACTTCTAACATTTACAGGCACATAACAACAACTGAGTAAAACTTCATACTCATTTGTAACATTTAGATGCATTTAGCAACTACTAAGTGAAACTTTACATACACTTCTAACATTTAGATCAATTTAACAACTACTAAGTGAAACTTTACATACACTTCTAACATTTAGATCAATTTAGCAACTACCAAGTGAAACTATACTCATAATATTTAGTTAAATTAGTCACCTACAAAGTTTTCAGGTATGATCACTGAATAAGCAATACAAGGTTTATATATCATTACAAAAACAAAAGGATTAAATGTGATGGAAGTTGTGTCAACAAGATAAAAGTAAAAGTCAAGTGTATGAACAGTGAATAGACATTGCCAAATGT